CATTATGTTAAGAAAATCTACCAACAAAATAGAAATAGAATCTCTATTTAGTGGGTGCTAACGACTGCATTGTGAAGGCCTATCAAAAGTATTTATTAATCTGGAACAACGGAACCAAAGCGCGATTCAGGAGACTACAGCGCCATCTCTTGACCATTGGTGTAGTAGAACTAAAAACCACATCTTTATTTTTTGTAATAAAGTAACAGTTATAGGTATATATTCATATTTATAATATTTATCCACATGTTTCTAGTTTGTATATTCGGAATACGTGTTTGAGTTTCATACAAGTGCAAATCACATATGTTCTAATAAATTATATTCAGTAGCGATTTTAATTGAATATTTTGATTATTTATTTATTTTTTAAATTAAAACTGAACTTTATTGACTTCGTCCTTTTCCAGACTTTTTATTAATTTATTGTAATTAATTATTTGCATGCAATTAAAAACTAATTTTAAACGATGCCAAAGAAGGATAACTTCTCACGCGCCTACATAAGTACACGCACCCATTTTTTATTATAAGTACCTCCCTAGTTATTAATTATCGTTGCTTCAACTAATATTTTTGTTATTAGCTTTTACAATGGGGCGTAAAATTCCTGCTTAACATTGTGTCAAAAAAAGAAAACGAAAGAATAATGCAGCCATAAAGAAAGGTTGTGAAACAAGGTGAATATGCTGATAACATTTCGCTTTATTTTTAAAGCCTTTAAAATGCCATTAATTGATAAAAAAACATGTTATGAAAGTTATTCATCATTAAATTTCCTACAACTTTTGCATAAATCTTTTTTTACTAAATAAATACTTTTAAAGTTATGAGTCATTAACGTAGCAATTACGCAGTATATCAGAGTTTTGTATACGTGCAATTGATTCTCATCACTAATATTATTTATAATATTTATATTTTTCCCCCTATTTTTTTATTACATTTTTTTACAATTAATTGATAAAAATCCAACACAAATCATCATCAGCTTCAATTTGTATGAAAGTAAGTGAATTTTTCGGATACTTCTGTAATTTCATTTCAATGCCCGTTTTTGCGCACTTTAACGACTATTAACTTCAAAAGTATTTATTTAATAAAAAAAATATACAAAACTTGTAGGGAATTCAATTACGAATAACTTGTATACGACGTTTTTTATCAATTAATGACATTTTTAAGATTTTATAAAGGAAAAACTACAAACATTTTCAAATAAACAACAACAATTGAAAAACGGTAATAGTAACAATAAAAAGTTTGAGAGAAAGAAGTTAGAGAATTTAGTAATAAACAAAAAAACACTATATTTTTCCGTACAGTCTATAATTTAGGAGATATAGCTATAAACGCGTTTTCCAATAAAGCGGCCAGTTGTGCCCACCCTACATTCCCCGATTTAAACTTAAGCTTCTTACAATCTACCCTTATGTCTGTAAAAAAAAGCTAGAGTACGGTAAAGTGTTGCACTTCGATCAAGTATAACAAGTATAAGCTCGTGGGAGGCCAAAGTACATATTAGCCCAACATAATAATATATTTAGAATAGAAATTCACAGTTCTATTTATTTTATATGGAAACAAAGTTTTAATGGCAACCCCGAAAATACTGAAACTATACCGACCATAATTTCAATGGATTCGAATGCATTGCAACGGAAACTGTAAGTTTTTCATATTGTTATTGGAAGTAGATAATGAAAAAAGAAATTAAATTTATAACAATAAATTTATTTTTATTTAAATTTATAATAATAAATTAATTTATATAGGAAAAAATTGCTGTTGGGTTGGAAATCGAAGCCGAGGAACAAAGGGAAGCGCAAACTCAAATGTAAATATTTTATCTGTTTTATACTGACTTAATGGGTATTTCACTACTACACTATGTACATAGTTTACAATTTTAGCAGTTTGGTTTATTGTTTTAAACTCAAACTAATGGGATGCATTTCTAGAGCAAAAAAGTTTATTTTTAATATTTTATATTAGACTTCTTTGCTTCATAAGTTCAACTGACAGTAACTTGCTGATTTACGTACCATATCTGTGTCTGGATTGGAAATGTATTTCCAGTATTGCCTATATCTGTTTATTAAATGAAATATGAAGGCAAAGACAAAACTACACTTAGTACAGTTTTACTGAGATATTTGATTATTACCAAACATCAATCATCATTAAAAAAGTCAATACTAAAAAACACAAGTAAATAAAATATTATTTCTCATTGCCACTCGAAAAAGGGATTTTATTCAGCGATAACAGTGAACAAACTATTCATTTAATTACAGAGTGAATAAAAAAGAATTGAACAAACAGAAGTTATGCAAAGCATACACATAAAGTTACAATAATTAGTAATAATCATAATTAATCTTTATTGTCATTTCCAAAACACAACCAATGGGTACTATAAATATATTATTTATTTTCTCACAATAGTAAAAAAACTTAATCCTTGTATCCTTTGCTCCACTCAGGATTCCTATCTTGAAACGTTCGTTGCTACAGTAGGGATCCATCTTAGCACTTCAAATTAACTTTATTTAATAATGGCATTTATTGTATAATCAATATTTGCATATAAAAGTATCAATTTGGTAAAGCGCGCTATACTGAACATCGCCGCGTCGATGTCTCGCTCGTGCGACTCGGACACGCTCGCGACCGTATTTACCTAAACAAGAGAGGCGCAATTTTGTAAAAGGGCTCTTAAGTAATACCTACAGTACTTACTTATATCTAAAGTACATAGTCAAATAATTAACAAATAATAGGTATGGTGTCAGTGATATGCATTTCAATCACCAATTCCAATCCAAATGTTATTTTGACTAAAATGTAGGACTGTAATTTATTATTTGTTCCTTTGTTTTTAGTGGTTTTGTTTTTATGAAGCAATTTTTAATATTTGTTAGAAATGATTTTATTTCCCACTCTTTATAAGCTAATAATAACCTAACACGAAATAAGTTCCTACTGTTTGTAATTGAGAAGTTTGCTTTTATATATCCGAAAGTGTTTGGCATTCACCAAATGAATAATTGGGATTTGGGACGATATCGCCAAAAACTGATAGAAACAAAAAAAAGATAAAAAATCGGTTACGCATCTCGGATTATAAAATAAATGAGTACAAAATCTTCGCAAAACAGCCGAGGGGATAATTACAACCTCTGACCGAAACCGGAACTTATAACCGTAGGTACCTAGGAAATTTTCAAGGATGATTTACGTTAGACCGTGTCGGCCGTAGCAGAGTTAACGAATCATCATCATCGTCATCATCATCAGCCTAATAATGTCTCCATTGCTGGGGCACAGGCCTTCCCTATGGATGGAATAGGCAGATTGGGCCATGACCCACCACGCGGCTCAGTGCGGATTGGCGGGTGCTAACGACTGCAGATGCAGCCGGGACCAACGGCTAAACGTGCCTTCGGAAGCACGGAGAAACTCCAGATAGAAGATTTTTGGTCACCCATCCAATGACCGACCACTGCGAAAGTTGCTTAACTTCAACGATCGCAGCCGAACGCGCTGACCACCTGCGCCATCGAGCTCTTCTAGTCAACTAATATATTTTAACCCTCTGACAACCGAGCACCAAATGAAACAACGCTCGGAAAAAACTTGGTCTCGCTTCGGCTCGGCCACGGCCCGTTGCATGAATACAGCGCCGGCGCGGTGCCGCCGGGCAATCGTAGTGATACCTCAGACAAAACAGAAACGTTTTCCTCGGACGAGTACACTTACCGTGTTTACTTTATCTGAATGATTATACTGCATCACGGCGCAACGGTACCTACCTAATTGCTCGGTCGAGGTACGTGTTTGTAAATTACAAATTCGGGACCGGCTCGGTGACCGTGTTACGGCTGAAGCTCGGCTCGAACTCGACTTGTTCTATCGGCACTAATCATCCTTATTAGATTTTTCGGTAGCTACCAAAATGTAGTCGGTACCTATATTTAATTTTAATTTTAAAAGTGGCGGCTTTCCCCCAACCTTTTGCCAAATAAAACTTAGGCATGCTCTAAGAAAAAATATGATACCTAAAGTTCTCCCCGTAGATTTAATTTCTCTAAGTTCATATTTTCACCAAAATAACGATAAACACTCCCAATCTAGAAACCCTGAGTACCACAGAGTACGCAAGTATTCACTCTTTAATATTATTCATAAATATCTCATACAGTAAAATAACAAACTTATGTTAAGTTTTCATATTTCAAAGATGATGAAGAATAACAAAGAATTACTGAAATAAGTCAAAATCACTGAATAATAAGTATTTATTGCTAATTTGAGTAAACCGATAATTACCGGTTCAATGCTTTTACATAATCTGTGAATTCAATTTAGATGCTCGATTACAGCTGTCACTTGTGATCTTAATTTAGTTAGTTCGCAATTTCGGAATACCAATTCACTAAACCTAAACTAAAATTTTTAAGTTTAGAGAATGTAACGCCAGAATTGGTCCCAATATAGTTATAATTAAGAAAAACATAATCATCAACACCAACCGTTTTAAATCGAAAAAAATGGTTTATTTCGGTTTTAAACGGCTTTTTTCGTTTTAAACGGATTGGTTTAATTGGTTTTAAACCGGCCTTACATCTAAAGTCTGCAGCACCCACCAATCCGCACCTCCCCGGCGTGGTGGGTCACGTCATGGTTCAATCTCCGTATTCCAACCATAGGGAAGGCCTGTGCCCTGGCAGTGGAGATGATGATGATGAAATTATGCTATCTTCAAATTTTTCTTTCTCTCATCATTAATAACAGTTCAAGATATTTTTATGTTTACAAAGCTCATATCATAAAATTTCTGTAGCGGGTATAAAAAAGGCAAATAAATGATGCTAATAGAAATGGACATGGACGTTATATAAGGACAGCAAGGAATTACGAAAGAAAGATTAAAGCTCGTCAGTGTGACTATAACAGAACTTTCTATTTAATGTCCCCTCCTAAATAAAACCACTATTTTCATCATAAGATTATATTAAAATTTAATAAAAAACCATCTTCTAAATATTAATATCACAAGTATTTTTTTAAACTTATTACTAGACCTAGCACGCACTATTGCAATTATGAGATGTTATGTAGATGTGGTAGTGCGGGCACTGAGGAAAAAATAAAGCATTTTTCTGCCACACAATATTGCGTACACATTACAGAAAATTTCCTTAATGTTAATTTACAGTACTTGAAATGATTTTGATTTTTATAGAACTCAAAAACCCTCGTCATCTAATCTCTCATCATCTCCCTAGTATTCATCTCCCTACTTTCATTCCATCCCTATTGTGCACAAGAGATCATAATATTTACAAGTTGCTAACTGATTTTATAGCTAACATGACATAAAACTTTAATTAATTCATATTGCGTATATAGTATTTATCTTATTTTCATTTATTTGTGACATCATATTTTACACCTTACCTGATTCTATCCCTCCAAAGGACATTGGGCAAAAATGTATGGACGCTGCGCCCACGTCCGCCACGGCTTGAACTACATTTGTTTGAAAGGTATTATAGTCGAGATCATCTGTGCCAAAGCGCATCAAATTCCATCCCGGGGGTCTTTAGTTATTTTAAGTTAAATATGTACAAGTACTATAACGAACGAACATTAATGAAACAAGGGAATTAATTTAGTTAGTTCGACCCTACATAGGGTGCTCAGGAATTATGGGAATACTTCACAAGGTGCATGGGTGCCCCCTTATGTTATTCTGCCGCGCTAGAGTAAATCCAAAAATCCCCGCTTGGGTTGTTTTTTTTTTTAAACATTCTGTTCGTTATAGTAAATTGTCTTCTATGTAAAACGGAGCGACCAAAGATTACACAAACTTGCCCACGCTTCGGAGAACACATGACTTCAGTTCCTAATTGACAAAACCGATAATCGTGTTCCAATATCCAAAGCGTGTTAGATAAAAATCAATCAAGTAGCAGGGAGCGCACAATCACAACGAAGTAAGACAAGTCGACTATTTGCAACTGCAAGTCCTTCAGCATCTATTAACCGTTTTGAAATGTCTCAGTAAAAGCAAGCGTAGGATGGTTGACAGGCTTTGTCGTACATTTGGTTGTATAGTACGATATGGCATATTATTATGATTACTAATAATATAAAATGAAGGTACCTACTATAAAATGAATTTATTCAGCTACTTAAATATGCCCATGTGTCATATTTATTGACTACCAGGATATTTTTTACGGTGTCATATCTTTTGACTCCCAGGATATTTATTTTCGGTGTCATAATAAAAAAGGCTAGTTTTTCATAGATCTATCGATTCATATTAATTACATTATTGGCGGAGCTGGGTGCGTTTTTCCCATTGTCCTTCCGTTTAAAAAAAATTTTTATTCAAACAGTGCAGGCCCATGACAAAAAAATATTTGTGATAAAAATCAAGGAGGAATCGCTTAATCAAAGGAATACGTTTGTATGGAAAAACACCTCCCCTCTTAGAAATTAAATTCTTAAGTACAACACATTAATCATCTTTCTCACTACACGCGATAGTTTGAAAACAAGCCGGGCAATTTCCAGTAGCAACTCCAAATGCTGGGGGCCTACCACCTGAACACGCCACTAGCCACTGAAATAAAATATATTTCTATGTTTATGTAGCTTTCTAAACTGAAAATGAATAATTTACGCACAGTAAAATACAAGAAACCACTGAGCTGGGAAAGTTATTGTTTCTTTTTTGCTTTAACTTGGCTATTCATGTTTGCTATTTGTCATTTTGATAGCAGGTTGTCCTTTTCATAATCTTTCTTCCACATGTAATAATTTTACGAATGGCTTCCCGGAAGCAACCAAAGTGGACCACTTTGGTTGCTTCCGGGGACCACCGGTTACGAAAAAAGGAGAGACTGGTTGTCAAATAGCAAATATCAATAGCCACATGAAATGCCAGCATAAAAGGATTATGTCATGGGAACTACAAAGCGACTATGAACTTATTCCAATGGAAGATAGTTGTTGATAGCTGTTCCACTCTTGTTCTATGCTCAAGAATTTTATTATACAAGGACTTTATTATTGCTCAGATATCAGAACTAAAGGCAGATGGAGGGCATGGTACACAGATTGCGTGATTTGATATTTGCTTTGGTGGCACGCAATCTGTGTACAATGCTCTTCATCTGCCTTTAGTTCTGTAATCTGAGATTGCTCCACTAATTTTAATGAAAACAGAATAAAAATGGCTGTTTCATTCTGTTTTATAATATGTAAGAGTTCAAATTTCAGGATATAGCAGCCAAACTTAAGAAGCAACTTATCAAAAATATATGTTTCATAATTTTATTCAGTCCTTGACACTGAGATTAGGGTTACCAGGCCTAAAAATGCAAAATCCTGTCTGACATGTCTATAAACCCTGTTTACCCCTTTTAAATAAAAATCAGAGTATTTTTGTCCTATTTTATTTTCTTATATTATTTAGACCCACATTTTTGGTTGCAAAAAGTTGTTTTTCCAGCTATTTCGCAATAAAATTGTTCACACACACAAATGACTACACCCCGCCTGATGTTAAATGACGATGAAGCTCAGACGTCAAGATAACTGGTACAGCAGTTCTACCTGCCACACCAGCCATCCTGTCTACCTTGCCGGCCTGCATGTTGCTGCTTCACGCCTCTTTAGAAGGATCCCAGGTTGTAAGAAGGAAGGAACACGTGAGCGGGCAGAGCATTTCATTTACGGATAGTGCGACAAAGAAATATCTTTGTACGCATTGGAATTGTGGCCACAGTTAGACGGTGACAACGTAGGCCCGCACGCGTGGTCCTCTGAAGAAAAGGGGAGGTGGAATAATAGAGAAAATCTCCTCAGAAAACTCGCCGTGGTACAGACGATAGGACGCGCTTTGTGACGCCACGTCACGGCGTAATTGAAGAGGCCCGAGGTGTTAAGTCACCTTCTCATCTCTTATGATGAGAAATGCGCGCCGCTGTAACCTATCCAAAGCATCGAGCAAGTATTTGGCGGAGCCATCCCAGAGGTGCGAGCAATATTCCAAGCAAAACAGCACCTGCGTCTTAAACAACAAGCACAGTTGCTTGGGCGTGATAATACGACGCACCTTGTTCAAGACTCCGAGTTTGCCTGTGGCCGCTTTTACCACGCTTTCGTTGTAATTCTTTAGATTTAAGTCACAGTGAATTTCCATACCGAGCGTAGTGATACTGCTTCCTATCTCCAGTGTTATGCCCTGAAGAGAAGGACATGAAAGGAATGGCGACGTTTTTGCCGTGAAAGCGCAGACCTGGGTATTGTTAGCATTGAACTCGACCAATTATCTGGTACCCCATTCAGAAATGTTGGCCAAAGCCTGATTAAGTTCAATGACAAGATTCTCCCGTTTCTCCTTGGTTACCGCCTGTCCAACCGCTGCTCGTCCGAGATACCCCGCATGCACTGAACTATCGCCTAGCAATGAATATTCCTAAGAGGAATAAATAAAGTCATTGAATTGCAGCAAAATAGAGTGGGGTATAGGACGGAGCCCTGAGGAACGCCGGCATTCACTGACATGAACTGCGAACTACTACCATCCGTAAAGACACGAATTCTACGCTCATGCAGGAAGTCAGCTACCCAGGAACCGAACTGGGCCGGCAGACCGTATGCCGGAAGCTTGGAGAGAAGGCTTTTGTGCCAAACCCTTTTGAACGCCATGGCAATGTCAAAGCTTGTCGATAGCCTCACCGCAGATAAGAGTTAAGTACGCTAGAAGATCACCCGTCGATCTTTTCGGCCTAAAACCATACTGACGATCATTAATCGGAGAATAATCCTCTAGGTGGCGGATCAGATGGTTGTTAAGGACCTTTTCTAGGACTTTACATAAGACTGAGGGTGTCCGTGATGCTAGCGTACCCACGATCAATATACGGTTTTTCGTTATGCCATTAAATACTGCGTAAATAGTGCCAAATTAGTGTAAAAATAAAAAAAATAGTGCCTCTTTAATTTAAGAAATAAAGACCATTTTTACTGTGTACGCTACCATGACGTCAAGCTAGCGTACCCATGGCCGACCCCGAGAACGGCATATATTTAAGCAACGAAATTGACACACAAAAATAGTTCGCAAATAGTGCCCTGGCTTTACAAAATTTCATAATCAATACTCTTAAAGGACCAAAGATATTAAACTAAACATTCTTAGCTGGCGTCAACCTGGCGTACCCATATTAGTTCTCATAGAAAATGAACTTTTCTCGTTATTAATTCTATATGGATAAATAGTGTGTCAAATAGTGCCTCTAACAGTAAAAGTATTTTATGTGAATTCACAGTAAAACAATATAAAAAAAGCAATTAAATTATTTTTATATATAAAGTACAGTCATGTACAGAAGTGATAATATTTTCGTAGTATAGTAGGTAAGTAAGGTACTTAGTAGGTAGGTTGAAATTCTTATATGAATTTATGAATTGAAATAAAATATCTTTTTATAAAAAGTACCTATTTATTTTAGTAAAAATACATATATAGATAATCTCTTATAGACCAGGGTCGATAATTTTAAAAATGGTGAAAAGTGAAAAAAAAATATAGTAGGATGAAACCCATTAGAAAAGGTAGAGAATATAACAAAAATGAAAGGAAAAATAAATTACGGGCGATCTGAGGTCGGGAAGGGGGAGGGGTTGAGTTTTTAATGGTAAAAAATGGTTAATCTCGATTTCCGGTAAAACTGCAAGTCCTATGAAAAAAGTTAAATGGCAAAGTTGTAGGTAATAAAAAAATCTACAACTTTTGTATCGACACTTTTTTCACATAACCTCAAAATTTATGTGAAAATGCGAATAACCGAGTTTTTGGTTTTTGATTTTTATTTTTTGCAAAAAAAAGTATTTTTTCTCGAAATTTGGTGAAAACTTACCTTTGTATGTCCCAAACATACAGTAATTTTTTTGATTTAAAATATTCATTTTTTCACCTTATTTTGACTTAATATCCAAAAAGCACCCTAATTTTCAATCGAAAATTCTCACGTCAAAATATCTGCTTTTTTAAAAAAGTTGGGGTGTTTTTTGTTTGTTGAAATCTCTACTTTCTGATGGTATAAAAAAAATATACACTACTATGATAAATGTTCGCAGAAAATGCAAATTAATAATGAAAAAAACTCGAATCCGAAAATCCTATTTTTAATACCTACTTACAACAACTATTTTTGCATGTTTTATGGATTTGTAATTTTTCTGTTTATCAATATAACATGAAATCTTACGTTTTTCGAGTAATTAAAGTTTACACTTTAATTACTATTTTAATAAATAGTTCAAAATTATACATAATGATTCAAATCAATTTTTCGGATTGGAGTTTTTTTCATTATTAATTTGCAGTTTCTGAGAACATTTACCATAGTAGTGTATATATTTTTTATACCATCAAAAAGTAGAGATTTCAACAAACAAAAAACACCCCAACTTTTTTAAAAAAGCAGATATTTTGACGTGAGAATTTTCGATTGAAAATAAGGGTGCTTTTTCGATATTAAGTCAAAATAAGGTGAAAAAATTAATATTTTATATCAAAAAAATTGCTGTATGTTTGGGACATACAAAGGTAAGTTTTCACCAAATTTCGTGAAAAAATAAAAATCAAAACCCAAAAACTCGGTTATTCGCATTTTTCACATAAATTTTGAGTTTATGTGAAAAAAGTGTCGATACAAAAGTTGTAGATCTTTTTATTACCTACAACTTTGCCATTTAACTTTTTTTCATAGGACTTGCAGTTTTACCGGAAATCGAGATTAACCATTTTTTACCCTTAAAAACTCACCCCCTCCCCCTTCCCGACCTCAGATCGCCCGTAATTTATTTTTCCTTTCATTTTTGTTATATTCTCTACCTTTTCTAATGGGTTTCATACTACCATAATTTTTTTTGGTCTCAAAAATTATCGACCCTGGTCTATTAGTGCATAAATTAATTTTGTGTGCAACTGTACTACAATACATTGGTTCCTAGAATTTAAGATTCTCTTTATGTATTGTTGTGATGCGGATTCACTTAAAATACTTTTACTATTAGAGGCACTATTTGACACACTATTTATACATATAGAATTGATAACGATAAAAGTTCATTTTCTATGAGAACTATTATGGGTACGCCAGGTTGACGCCAGCTAAGAATGTTTAGTTCAATATCTTTGGTACTTTAAGAGTATTGATTATGAAATTTTGTAAAGCCAGGGCACTATTTGCGAGCTATTTTTGTGTGTCAATTTCGTTGCTTAAATATATGCCGTTCTTGGGGTCGGCCATGGATACACTAGCTTGACGTCATGGTAGCGTACACAGTAAAAATGGTCTTTATTTCTTAAATTAAAGAGGCACTATTTTTTTTATTTTTACACTAATTTGGCACTATTTACGCAGTATTTAATGGCATAACGAAAAACCGTATATTGATCGTGGGTACGCTAGCATCACGGACACGACTGAGGCGACTGCTATTAGCCGGTGGTTGGGCGGGTCTAAGCGATCCCCTTTTTTGGGCACATGTTTTTTGGGTTGCATGTTGGCATCCAAGTCTTTGCCACACGCCCCAAAGAATACGAGCTTTGGCATAAGCGCGTAAGCACGGGAGACAACTCTGCCTCATATTTTTAAGTTCAACTGTTAGGTTGCCATCAGGTGCTCTAGCTTTCCGGGCGTCGAGTGATCCTCACGCTGGGTGATTCTAATATCAGGCATCGTTATGCTTTGCTCAAATCAAAAAAATAGCTGTTGTATCCACATTTTTGTCCACATTCTCAGTTATAGTCTATATTGCTATTGACCAGTGGGTCAATTATGCGTTAGTGATATAATCCTTATATGATATCAATATATTGTTGATGCCAAGTTAACATTGTTTTTAAATGGTATTATGAAACATTCCTATGTCACATCAAGATCATATCAATATCATATCCTGTATCACATTTTTGACGTTTATGCGATATATACAGGACATGCGATACTGTTATGCGATATATACAAAAAGTTGAACGTAATACGCATTTAAGTTGATATCAAGTTGATATCATTTTAAAGAATTGATAATAATACGCATAAGTTGATGTCAAGTTGACGTCATTTTGATATCGCATTTTTCGGAGAGTTTATAATTATCTCTTATCTATTAGACAAGTCCGTCCGTCCGTCCGTCCGTTGTGCTGTTTCAGCGGCCAAACCGTAAGAGATAGATATAGAGAATGTTTAAGTTATAAGTTAAGAATAGTCTGATAAGACTACAAACCGGATGTGAGTAACGTAGCACTTCCGGTTTTCGAGAAATCACGTGATTTCTATTTCAAACGAAACCACACAAAATCTCCGAAGTTATAATTTTTATTATTTTTAAAGCATGTAACTGCTTGATGTTTAAATCTAAAGAAAATATAACTAGAAAAAATTCCACGCGGACCAGGCAGCAGACGGGACTCGAACCCGCACCCTTCGCAATCCGGGCGAATGCACTGACCAATTATGCTACCGCGGCCCTCACGGACCGCGTCGAAATTCTTTCTAGCTATTCTTAAGCTGCAAGGCAGCGCCATCTCTTCGCATTATAGGTAAACCCACAATGTCAAATGAATACTTTTACAAGTATTAAACATTTGAAAGAAGAAATAGCAATTATAGTTATAATTTTTATTATTTTTAAAGCATGTAACTGCTTGATGTTTAAATCTAAAGAAAATATAACTAGAAAAAATTCCACGCGGACCAGGCAGCAGACGGGACTCGAACCCGCACCCTTCGCAATCCGGGCGAATGCAATCTCCGAAGTTCTCAATTAATTAAATTTTTCTTTTTTTTTTTGGTGAACATTTGGTTCACTGGTTTGCTAGTTACATTATAATACGTAATGTGAACTTGACATCAAAACCATATCACAATTAGCGAGCATAATTGGCTTGCTGTAATCATCCAATATATCAGTGTAATCCTTTTTGTGGGTAGGTTTTATGACAGATATCTTTAATATATCCCGGAATTTACCTTCTGTAAACAACGATATTAAATACCCTAGATACACCACGAGCGCTCAAAATGTGTCCCAATCAAGAAGAAGTGCTTGAACTCCACTCAAGCACTTCTTGGTTCACAGTCACGCGCGGACCGTTACAAAGTCAAGATGCCACAGAGCTCCGCGAAAAAATGCGAAAATAATACGATTTTCGTACTCTAGTACGAAAAGTGTCGTTTTTTCGACAGGTATCTAGTCAATGTTTGTTAATATAACGCATTTGAAGCAAATTTTGATCTAATACTTACTTTAAACTGATTTAATATAAAATATTTGTGATATTCAAATGCATGGTCGGTTATACGTCGCCATATAGCCGTCTCTTTTCCTCGCGGTCCATGCCTGCTATATTGCTAACAGCGCGTTCAGAATTGCGCGTAGAGTCAAAGAACTAAGGTCTAAATTCTTCCGCATATAGCATTAAGTCGTAAAATTTTACGAGCTTGCATTTCGAACTGTCAGAAGTCCTTGACGCATGCGTTTTATTTAAGACCTTATACACTATGTATTAAAGGTTAATTTCAATATTTAAATAATGCCTTATATTTATTTTGACTACGCGATCATATTAGGGAGCTCCGTAGATCGTTCAATGTACCTTTTGGGCAGGTTTCGGGCACGATTTTGTTCGTTTTGGTGTATCTAGGGTATTTAATATTGTTGTCTGTAAACAATAAGTTTATTGGGCAATATTTGACAATATTTCAGAAAGAATTAAGGTATAATAAGTATTTTAAGAACTTAGTAGGGAATTCATTGTAACCAACTGATGTGGTGTTATTGTGAGATCTTATTATTTTGAATCATGGACGTATAAAAAAAGGCGGACAGAGTTTCGGCTAAGACAATACTGAGGCACCGTAATGGCGGCGGCTATTGATGAGTGAGTGAATTGTAGGGTTGCTAGGTTAGCCAATTTTTTACCAATAAAACACAGTAAAAACATGAAAATATTTTGATTGTTCAAAATTTTACTTTTTGCCCGACTGCGGAGGATAATGTATTTCGAGTGTATGTATACATGTATGTATGTATGTCCAATAATTTTGCACGCCCTACAGCCTGAACGTCTTGACGGATTTTGACATGCGAGGTGACATTTGATTTGTCGTGATTGTGTTAGTGGCACTCGGTATATTAAAATTTCAAAAAATCAAAATAACAGATTTTATGCGCCAAAATGAAACATTTTGAAAAAAAAAGTATAAGCATTTTTATAACCCGTCAAGCGAGGTATTAAAGTGAAGGGTTTTAAAAGAATATTTAGAAAATATACAACTCGTGTAATTAAAAAATAATGAAATTATAATGTCGTAAATAAAAAAAAATGTACTAAAAAGAAAAAAAAAGTCCAGTAGTCTAGAATTCTGTTTAATAAGGAACAAAGTTACTTTAACAGTCGGGACTCATTAGAAATTCTAGAATGTATCGAATTTTCTCAATATTGGGTAAATCAACTAAATATAGATGGCCTAGTCTGCATTCTCTTTCATATTTCTTAAAATAAACTAACACCCATTGAGTACTGTTTGTAATTGAGGAGTTCCATTGTTTTCCTTCGAAAGTACTCTTCAGATCTCCAGTAAATTAATATGCAGCCATCTCGCTAGTAAACTGATTAAAACAAAAAAAGAATCATCATAAACGGTTCATGAATCTCGGAGATCTGCGCGAACAACAATAAAAAAAAACAAATATGACGCATTGCGAACCTCTTTCTTTTCGAAGTCGCTTGAAAATTTTAATCAACCTTTTGAGGTAATGCTACGTAATAACACGCCGGAGTCCTCCTTTAGTTGTAGAGTCTTGAGCTTCAAAATGAAGACTAAAACTGACACTACTACATATTTGTTTGGAAATCATTCATTTTCCAGTAATTTCTCCATACTACATTTTCTTTAGGAAATCTGATAAAAAAGAATATTAAATAATAGATTGAAGTTAATGTCAACCCAATTTCCCATATTTTAGGTAATATGGTTACATGAACATTAGCAACACTGGGCTTTCGACTAATCATTTTGTCCTTAGAATTAAAATTGATTTCGATTTCTAAAAACTAGAAAAAAGTGATTCAATTATTCATTTACCTATGAAACGTGATTCCTGGATTTTTTTCTTTCGATCACTACGGTTTTTACTCCTTTTTACAAGCAAGATATCTTGTTTAGCTTATTTTTTATCTCCACGAAACGTGTCGGCTGCTTTGACGTTTGCACGTGTAGTGGCTGACTATTGTGTGAATGTGTGCGTGCCGGCTTGTACGTACAGCGACCTGGCCGACTCTGAGCGACACAGTTTATTGTTTACCGGGACTCTGTCCGCCTTTTTTATAAGTCCATGTTTTGAATACTTCTTCCGGGGTACCTAGATTGGTTTAACTATTGAAGTAATGTTATGGTATAATGTCTTTTTATTATTTTTAGGTGTCAAATTATCATTAGATATTTTAATTATATTATTAAATGTAAGATTTTGTCTATGAAATAGTTATTAAAGGTATTGCAAATGTCAGAAGGATTATCGATCACTACATTATCATTATTTTTGATTTATTTATACTATATTATTTTTGATTGGATTAATTCAAAAACTATTGTAAAGTTGTATTTTCCTATTACTTACTATTCTATTTAAAAAATATATATGTTTATACCTGAAACAGACAATTTCTGTGAAAATAAACTCCACAAACAGCATTTTGACATAGAGGTAAGGGTACTCCAGGACTATCAGGTAGCACAGCACAAAGGCATATACTGCATAAGGTAGATTGTTCTGGTGGCATTTCAATACTAGTTGTTGAAGACTTTCGGGATGTAACAGAAGTAGGAAAGTTCACTAAATCTGAAAAAAATATGATAGTAAATTGGTAGTAATAAGTGCTAAATACAGAATGCCTTAACAGAATAAATATGAACATATAGACAAATTTTAGCTGCAACATCAGTTATGAATTTTAATATTTTACAGTAACAGTTTTAAACTGTATGTTTATACTCTTGCAAACTAATAATATTGTACATACACCATTATAATGTTGAATTAGTATTATATGCTATGAAATTAACCAAATCATGCTGCTGCTTTTGTTTGTTTACATGAAGTTGACTCAAAAACTTATACTGTGAAAAAAAACTTACCAAACACAGTCATGATATTTTCTACAATATCTTTATCATGATCCCATGATAGAAGACCTGATTGCAATTTGTTGCTCCATAATTCAGACTGACCTACCAAATGCATGTTTTTAGCTGACCCATCTGGAGAAACTTCTACATGAAGCCATGTCCTTTCATCTAAAACAATCAACTATATAATTAGCTGTTAAACAAAGAACTTTTCCATTTCATAGTAAATTTCCTGATTTAAAGTTACCCCTTTAGTCCAATGGAAACAGCCTGTAATTAATACTAACAATAATTAATTCGAGTTTACATTTTTCAAAAGACTACATGTAAGTTTTGATTCAGATTCTTTCACAGTGTATTTTAATAATGATAATATTTAGGTCCTAGTATTATTGGAAGAGATACACATGAAATGACAAAAAAAAACAGCCAAGTGCGAGTCAGACTCGTGCACTGAGAGTTCTGTACAAACCTGTAGGTATATTTAATAATTATTAAAAATATTTTTTATTATATGATGTAACTAACAATTTACGGTTTTCACAATTTTTCCTTTATCTGTACTATAAGATGTTACTTCGTACCAAATTTCAAGATTCTAAGTTCACAGGAAGTACCCTTTAGATTTTGATTCCCATGCGAGTTTCGAAAATTTCCGGCATAAATGGCTGTATCTTTTGAATGCTTTGGCTTAGAAGTTTAATTTTTTCACAGCTCCAGTTTGATACCTCCACGAATTCCTGAGAAAAACGGTCTTGACAGACGGACAGACAGATGGACAGACAACAAAGTGATTCTATAAGAGTTCAGTATTTTCCTTTTGAGGTTCCGAACCCTGAAAAGAGCTACTAAAGTGTAAAAAGCAACATGGCTCAAAGATATTGACACTAAATAATAATTTGAGCAAGATTGCTAGAAATAAATTATTATACTGAATGATTTCTTTTTGTTTATTAAAACATGATAATAATTGATAACATACAGAAATCATAGTAAGATGTATTAAACAACATTGAGTACACCCACCTAAAAGAATCCGTCTAAAGTCATCCTTAAATGTTGGTTCTAGTGGCTCCATAACAGTACAAAATCTATCAATACGCTCAAGTTCATTAAAATATGTGCATAAACTCTCGACATGTGCTCTATAAGCTTGAATGATTTGCTGAAGGGAGCTGTACTCACAATCTTGTATAGGGGAGTAAGGTAATTTTACAGAAGTTATTACTACTTTTTTAAGATTCATATACTTCATAATCACCTCATGTTCTCTGAGACTATCATCAGTTAAAAGAAATTTTATATCCCTCATAGTTCTCCCAAAAAACACAGGAATATTTTCATTTGTTACCAAGTGCTTGATTTCTTCTAAAAACTCCAAATCTACTAAATCATTTGTAATATTTTCAGTGGTTAATATTTTACAGTTAATCAATGATTGAAGACGGTTCATTAAATCTGTTGTCGTGTAATCAATTTCGTCGTGTATTAGATTTTCTACTTCTTCGAACAGATTTAAATCATAAGTAGCCATTTCTTGATTTTCGATATTTTTTAGGGTAAAAGTGAATACACAGTAATACGACGATTCAAAGAAACCGGCACTCTTATTGTAGTGATATTCGATATACATCGATGCATCAAAAACATCGATATTTGCAATGAAAAATATCGAATCGATCCGATGTTTTGAAAAGCATTCAATATACTCGATGCACTGATGTATAAAAAAAAACATCTATTGAAAGTAGAGTTTGACCACGTAGTGATTATGTCCTCTTTGGTTTGACCTCAGTAAAAAAAACTAAACTTTGAAATTTTACTTACCAATATTAAGAATGCATGGTGCATTTTTAATTCTCTAATATGGACCCGATGATGATGATTCCGAATTCTCTAATATGGACCCGATGATAGCAGCACTGCACAAGAGTCAGTGCAGTGATTATTATGTTTGTATTTGTACTATGTGTTCGGCTTCATGGACTTGTATCCTGGCTATGTCATTTGCCAATAAAAAAAAATAAAAAAAAAGTCAGTGCAGTGACAATAAAAGTTACCGAAAAAGCGCGGGAAACCTTCAACTTAGGCGGACGTACTTTTTGGCAAGATTTTTTATTTATTTCTATTAATAGTCATTGGGATCAGATAGGTCCTTAGTTTAGTGTATATTTTAATATTTATTAGTAGTATATAATTATATTCGCTGTATTGGTAAGTTTTTAACATTTCTTACATATGAATGACCCTTTAGACCCTGGGGGGACCGCCCCCCAGGTGTCGCATATTGTTACAATTCCATTTGATTGTAATGAAAAAGAAATGGAAACAGAGGGCTCTTTAATAGACACTGATGCTTCTGATAACAACTTTAATAACAACAAACGTAAACGATCTCATCCCGAAAAATTTGCAAGCATTGCAACAAAAAGAGAAGGCATTACAAATCCTCCTCAGTGGCTTTTAATGAAAAAGATTGTCAGTGTACTGACGATAATAGTCATTTTGAAGAAAACCTCCCCACTAAATTTAAATCTCCAAAAATTCCTACTGCTCCAGTATCACAAGAAATAAATGTAAATAATTCAAATTCCTCTCCTAGCCAAGTAAGTAGAAACCTGTATCAGGCATCAGATGCCGCCCCGTATATTATACATATTCAGAGGGAACAGACCAGTGCCAGTGATAATACCTCTATTCACCCCATTTCCTTTGGCCATTTCCTCAAAAGAACAACATTAAAAATATTGTCAATGGAAGAAAAGAATTGGAAGGAATCAGTTACTTTTGTCATTTACTCATTTTGAAGATGCAAATGCTTTCATTGACATAGTTATGCTGTTTCAAAGCTTGATTAGCTTTGAAACAGCATAACTACAAAGCATTTATTCCTAGTTTTAATATTACTCGTATGGGGGTTGTAAGAGGTATTCCCACTGACTGGTCCGAAGCAGAAATAATGGAAAATATTACTCTTCCTTTTGGTTGTGGAAATATACTCAAAGTTAGGAGAATAAATAGGAAACATATTGTAGACGACAAAGCAACATTCTCTCCAGTGGAGACTGTGGTGCTTACTTTTGATGGCCAGGTTTTACCTAAAAGGGTTTTTCTTTGCTTCAATGCTTTACCTGTTGATTTGTATATTTTCCCTAATGTACAGTGCTTTAATTGTTGTCGCTATGGTCATATTAAGAATCAGTGTAGATCTGTTCCAAGATGTTTCAAGTGTGGCAATAGCCACGCTGGTGAGAGCTGTAATATTGATGATGATGATGTTGTGTGTTGCTTGTGTTCTGGTTCTCACTATGCGACCAATAGAAAATGCCCAGAGTTTGCAAGACAGAAATCTATAAAAGAGACCATGGCGAAAAATTGTGTTTCATATGCTGAAGCATTTAAATTACATCCTCCAGTTATGAAATCCTATTCTGAAGTGTTATCTTCCACAGTACCTCCATTGTCTCCTACAAAACAAAGACATACAAATTATAATAATGTAAACAAATCTTCCTATAAAAAGACATATTTTGTGAAATCAAATCCACCCAAAAAGGACAGCATAGGGTATGATACCATCAATTGGCACCTTGAAAAATAATCCTTTATCTACTTTGTCAATAAAAGATTTAATTATTGTTTTAATTAACTCACTCTCTCAACAAAATAATTATTTTGAACCGTCCAACGCTGCTATTTTAAATATTATATTATTCATATTGACTTGCCGCATATTGAATTCATATTGAATTGCCGCAGCATAAGGAATAAAAAGTCAGACTTACTGTATATTATTAACATATACAGACCAATTATTATGGCACTACAAGAAACATGGCTCCAACCTAACACTAACTTTAATATTTCTAATTATTTTTGTTTAAGAGAAGATAGAACTGATAGCTATGGTGGTGTTGCTTTATTAATAAATGACACTGTTCCTTTCCAGCATATTCCAATTACTAACTATAGTACTGACTTCTCAATAATAGCTGCATCCGTTCAAAATAAATGCTTTATGTCAATATACATTCCTCATCCGTCATCCTCTATATATGATGAAGTAGCAGCTATTCTATCGCGATTACCTAAACCTATTTTGATAATGGGTGATTTTAACGCTCAACAAGTTTTAAAATCGCGTCCTAAACGTTCACCTAGACTAAAACATAGAATTAACTAGTGTTGAGTAGGACTTACAAGAGGCGGTACATTTGTCCCGGACATGACGTCAAAATGTAAGAGCGGCTCAAAATTTTAAAATGTACGGGTGCGGCCAGAGTGCACTCAGATTCAGACTCAGATTCAGATTTCGAAAACAAGCGCGAGAAATAAACAGTGTAGTCGAAGGGTACGGCCAGAGTGCACTCAGATTCAGATTCAGATTCAGACTCAGAAAACAAGCGCGAGAAATATACAGTGTAGTTTAAGCAGGTTGCCTGCGGCCACTATGGCCACCCTGCTTTAATTACACTGTTTATTTCTCGCGCTTGTTTTCGGAATCTGAATCTGAATCTGAATCTGAGTGCACTCTGGCCGCACCCGAAGGGTACGGCCAGATTGCACTCCTGATTCAGATTCAGACTCAGAAAACAAAGCGCGAGAAAAAGCAAGCAACCAGCTTAGACTACACTGTTTATTTCTCGCGCTTGTTTTCAGAATCTGAATCTGACTCTGAATCTGAGTGCACTCTGGCCGCACCCTACTACTTCACATTAAATGTCGCGATAGTCGCGTCTCGTTACTCACTCACTTTTCGTAAGTCTGAGAGAGAGCGAGGCATGACATTTCATTTAAGTCCTCTACGCACTATCCATCTGTATCTCTATCTCTTTTACGTGTATAGCGCTGTCCTGCATGCTGGATCCAGCAAGATTGATAGTGCGTAGAGGAGGTGCTACTCGTCGAGTTTCTGTACGCCTCGCCTCATTTGAAGTGGGACATTGTACTGGCTCAGTACAAAAAAGAGGCTACTCTTACAAACTCTTTTTCAAGTCGTGTCCTACGCAACACTAGAATTAACAATGACAGTGACAGCTGGGAGAAGTTTAGGGAGCTACAGTCCATCAAATTTAAGAAGTACCGTTTGACGTTTCATGTTTTTCAAACAGATATAACTTTGTTTAAGCGTAACTTATTCAAATTCGATAACCTTTTTCGTAAAACCATGAATTTATAAAGGTTTTATTATTGGATCTAAAAATGTACAATTCTTAATATCTAAATTTAATTGAAAACTTTCAAACAATGCAAAATAAACAATATTTACACAATAAATAAGTTCTAATAGTTCTATTCTTGACCTCATTGCAAAGTCACATAGTTAGGTCACTGCTCGTAGTGTTGCGACTCTTCGGAATCAATTGTGTACGAAAAAATCGTGTACATTATTCGGAAAATCGAATTTATTACTTTCAAATTATTACGACTTTGTAAAAATACATGACAGATGACAAAATGATCAAATTTGATGCCTTGGTCCATAATCTACTCAGATTACGATGTTGTAAGCGCTAGAAGCGCTTATGGCCAATGTCAGACCACGGCCAGAAAGCGAATTTTCGACGTAATGTTTAGGGGTAGAGCGCAATTTAATTTTTGTATAATTTCACGTTACTGCTCGATCGCATAATGCATTTAATACATAGGTACCCTAAAATAATTTAATTTAATTATTTTCAAACAAATCTATATAGGCGAAATAGCTCCAGAAAAAGTTTTTTTTTTATCAGACAACACTGCCGACCACAATCGCACGCGGTCCCCCTCGCCCGCGTCAGCAGTCTCTCGCCATCTTGGAAGCTGACTGTGCGCGTACCTACTTTCTCGTTTGTGTTTTACAATTTGTGACTTGGCTATTACTTTTCTGGACTCTGAACTAAGCAAGTGTTTATTAATAATGTCGAAAAGAGGACGTACTTTGAACAGCCAGGCTCGTGAATTGGTAGTGAAATTACACGAGTATTTTGAGCGTGAATGTCAAAATGGTGGAGCTCTACTGCCAGTTACACAAGTTCGGGATCACGTCGGTGAAGCTCTCGGTATTGGTAGCCGCACCGTCGGCAAAATATTAAGCGAAAAATATGGGCCTTCGGGGAGTGACAGTAACGTACTTCACACGCCGAAAAAAAGGAAAAGAACTAAACCTGTGACAGGTATCGATGACTTCGATAGCCATGCTATTAGAAACCATATCTATGGTTATTTTACAAGAGGCGAATTTCCAACATTGGCAAAGTTATGTGCAACTTTAGAAGATGCCGGGCTGTACAAGGGAAGCATAGAGTCGTTGAGAACGATAATAACAGGAATTGGCTTCAGATACAAAAAAGTTGACAAACGAAAAATTGTTATGGAGCGACATGACATAATTATGCAGCGACTAACATTCCTGCGCGAAGTAAAACAAATTATAAACTGGGATAATGTAATATTTTTGGACGAAACATGGCTAAATTCCAACCACTCTGTGCCGAAAACATGGACAGATGATTCTGAAGCTTCGTGCTCGAAAGTGCCGATAGGGAAAGGCGGACGCCTCATTATATGCCATGCTGGATCAGCGTCTGCAGGTTTCGTGGAAAATTCATTATGAGCTTTCCAATCTAAAAGCACAAAAGAGTATCATGAAGAAATGGACGCGGAAAGGTTCCAAGAGTGGTTCTTAAATTTACTAACGAATATCCCTCCTAACAGCACAATTATAATGGATAATGCCCCATACCACTCTGTGCAAATTGATAAAGCACCAACATCAGCCAATAAGAAAGCAGATTTGGTGGCATGGCTGCAAAGAAAAGGAGTGGAAGCCGACATGTCACTATTAAAAGCTGAATTGTTACATTTAGTGAAATTGCATAAACCATCAAGACCGACTTATGCTATTGACCAATTAGCCGAAGAATACGGGCACAAAGTCATACGACTTCCTCCGTACCATTGCCAATATAATGCCATTGAACTGATTTGGGCCCAAGTTAAAGGTATAATATAATAAT